AAGAGGGTCCATATCCCCGAAGACGTCCCCGAGTTTACCAACAACTCCCTTTCGACCATGAGTATCAGAGCCGACGTGAAGTCGGCCACGAAATTTACCAAAATTTGAGACTTAATAGCTATCCTGGGTCAATACTCAATATCGTACCCACTAATTTCTACATCCCATTTTTCCAATCGTCCCGAGAATTCGGGTTTATGCATTATATTTCGTAATAGGTAAGTTGTCACAACACATATAGGATGGCACTGAAAATATGGTTTCAATTTCCTAGAGGCGTTTAGCAGAGCGAACACCAATTTTTCTAGGTAAGGATATCTAGTTTCAGCCTCACCCAAGGTCCTACTAACATAATAAATTGGAAATTGCGTACCTTGTTCCTCCTGAACCAGGACTCCACTTACCACTATTTCCGATACTGCCAAATACAAGTACAGTTGTGTGATGCAGTGGTGGGCTCGATAGGTATCTCTTAAGTTCTTCCAAGGCCCGTTGGCATTCCGGGGTCCATGTGAAGTTATTTTTCTTCTTTAGTAACGAGAAAAATCGGTGGCTCTTATCAGAGGACCTTGAGATGAATCGTCCCAGGGAGGCAATACACCTGGTTAGCCTTTGCACGACCTTCACGCTGTCCACTACCGTGATATCTTTAATAGCTTTGATCTTGTCGGGGTTGGTCTCGATCCCTCGATTGGATACCATGAACCCGAGAAATTTACCTGATCCGACTTCGAACGCAGACTTTTCCGGATTCAACTTCATGTTGTACTTCTTCAATATGCTGAAGGTTTCCTGTAAATGCTTTAAATGGTCCTCTACTCACAGGGACTTAACTAACATATCGTCAATGTAAACTTCCATGGATTTCCCTATTTGTTCTTCGAACATCCGGTTTACCAGGCGTTGGTAAGTGGCACCGACATTTTTTAACCCAAACGACATCATGTTATAGCAGTATGTGCCATACTTAGTGATGAAAGAGGTCTTTTCTTGATCATCCGGGTTTATTCGTATGTGGTTGTATCTGGAGTAGGCATCGAGAAAACTGAGGATCTCGTGGTCGGCCGTGGCATCGATCATGCGATCGATGTTAGGCAAAGGGAAAAAGTCTTTGGGGCATGCTTATTTAAATCTTTATAATCCACATACATTCTCAGTTTGTTCCCTTTTTTAGGTACTACTACTACGTTCGCTAACCATTCCGGGTATTTGACTTCCCGGATGGACCCTATTTTAAGGAGTTTAGTTACCTCGTCCTTGATGAAAGCATGTTTGACCTCGGACTGGGGTCTCCTTTTTTGCTTGACCGGATGGAATTTTGGGTCCAGGCTCAGTTTGTGAGTGGTGATCTCCGATGGGATCCCTGTCATATCGAGGTGGGACCAAGAAAAACAATCCATGTTGGCTATAAGAAATTGAATGAGTTTTTTCCTAAGCTCGGGAGGTAACCTCGTGCCCAGGTATACCTTCCGATCGGGCAGATGTTCGATCAGTATGACCTGCTCCAGCTCTTCGATCGTTGATTTGGTAGCGTCGGAGTCATCGGGGACTATAAAGGATCGAGAAGCCCCGTAATCATTGTCTCAGTCCCCTTCTTGTCTAGTTGGGTCGAGGCCGGCACCGGTAATTGCTATTTGGTCTCTTGTTTTGCTTTCTACCTTGGCCCTTTTGATGCTGCAAGTGTTGATATCGGAATCACTTCATCGATTGCAAACATCTCCTTTGCGGCTGGTTGTTCCCCATATATCATCTTAATCCCTTCTGGCATCGGGAATTTTAATACCTGATGAAGGGTCGAAGGTACTGCCCTCATGTTGTGGATCCATGGCCTCCCGAACAGGGCGTTGTATCTTATGTCACCCTCGATCATATAAAACTTGGCTTCCTGTATCGTACCAGTAGTACTGACTGGTAATGTTATCTCCCTTTTAGTGGCTTCGCATGCCATGTTGAATCTATTCAGGACTCGAACTGCGGGTACGACTTGGTTTTGTAGACCGAGCTGCTCCACGACTCTTGATCAAATGATGTTGGCCGAGCTACCTGGATCAATTAACACACGTTTAACCCGAATTTTATTCATGAGTACAGATATTACCAGTGCATCATTTTGGGGCTGTACGATCCCTTTTGCATCCTCATCGTTGAAAGATAGAGTTCCTTCCGGCACATAGTCTCAAGTTCGTTTTTCCCTAGTGATGGATACCTTGGTGCGTTTCAACATCGACCCCTGTAGGATATCAACCCCGCCGATGATTATGTTGATGACGTACTGAGGTTCTTCTTGCTCTGCCTGTTTGTTTAATCCCTGTTCCTGAAGTGATTCTTGGCTCGGTCGCTCAAGCATTCTCGGAAGTGCCCATTGTTGAATAAACGAGCTACTTCCTCTCTCAATTGTCGACAATCTTCGGTTTTGTGACCGTGGGTGCCATGATACTTACATATATGGTTAGGATCCCTTTGGGTTGGATCGGTTTGTAGAGGTCGAGGTCATTTGATATCTTTGATTCATCCGATAGCTGATACAATGGCAGCAACATCGACATTAAAGTTGTATTCCGATAGCCTCGGTGCATCTTTGGGCCCGATGGGCCTGTCGAAGCCGTTTTTGGTCATAAGTCCCCTGCTGTTGTGACCTCGATCATTTCTTCTTTCATTATTTATGGAATTTCTCCCGGACACGTTGCCTCTTCGATCCCCGTTATATGGCTGATACCGATCTCTATTCGACCTTGGTTCCCGGTCAATATCTCTCTTGATTTTGTCGACGGGCCTAATGGGATAAACGGACTTGGAAGGAGCCCTAGGTTGATCGTCTTCGACCCTGACTTTTGATTGGTACCGATTGTGCACATCGGCCCAAGTAATAGCTGGGTACTCTATCAGATTCTGTTTCAACTGCTGTGAAGCCACCGAGCTTCGAACGTTGAGCCCTTGGGTAAAGGCTTGAACGGCCCAATCATCAGCGACCGGTGGTAGATCCATCCATTCTATTTGGAATCGAGATATGAATTTTCTGAGCATTTCATTGTCCTTCTGCCTTACCTTGAAAAGGTCTGACTTCCTGGTTTTGACCTTGATGGCTCCGGCGTGTGCCTTTACGAAAGAATCTGCAAGCATAGCAAAAAAGTCAATAGAATTAGGTGGTAAATTATGATACCATATCATGGCTCCCTTTGACAAGGTCTCTCCGAATTTCTTTAATAAGACAGATTCGATTTCATCATCCTCTAGATCATTCCCTTTGATGGCACACATGTAAGAGGTGGCATGTTCGTTCGGATAGGTCGTTCCATTGTGCTTAGGAATCTCGGGCATGTGGAACTTCTTGGGGATCGGTTTTGTAGCCGCGCTCGGGGGAAAGGGTTTTTGCATGAGCTTCTTAGAATCCAGGCCTTTCAATATCAGTGGTGCTCTTGGTATTTGTTCCACCCTGAAATTGTAAGTCTCCACCTTTTTATCGTTGGCCTCGATCTTCTTCTCCCCTGATTCTATCCGCTTCGTCAATTCCTCGAGCTTTTTTATAATCTCCGGGTTAGCCCTCGATTCATTTTTCGTTCGACTTTTCTGTGACCGGTTGATCCCTGCGAGTGACTTCCCGGGGACGATTGGGCTCAACCCCGCTTTGTGCACGGTTTTGGTTTTGTAACTGGGCTATTGCCACATGTTGTGCCTACAACATTTCGAAGATCACTCGTAGACTGATCCCGTCCCCTTCAACGTTTTATGTGTTTCGAGTTGCCGATCGGGCTCCACCACGAATGCTATTTTCGGGGTCAGTAGGCAAGTTTGCATTGATAGCCACATGTGAATTAGCATCAATCGGATCTACGGTCGGAATTCTAACGGGATCAGTAGGTGGTATCTCGTTACCGGGTGCTATATTATTATTTTCATCTTGGTGACCGGACTCGTTGTCAATGTGCAGAGGTGCTGATTGGGAATTTGACATTTTGTATTTTAGCCTAGAATCAAAGACACTTCAAAGAGCAATTGTAAAGAAGTATGTGTTATAGAGATTTGTATCAAATAATCACTATTATCCTCAGCCCCATGGTGGCGCCAAACTATTTACCCTAAAATCGGATAACAATTGAATTTATACGCGGTTTTAAGGGTACATGATATAACTTGATACAAGTTGAGAAAATAGATCAATACTGAAATTAATCACGAGAAAATAAATGCAAACCACAGAAATTGAACAGTCTTAGCCCTAAAGGTTGGTCGCCCTCGAGTTTGGAAATGCTTCAATCAATAACAGAACAAGTTAACAAGATAACAAGAACTAGAAATGATCAATATATTGCTTCTTTGATGCCTGTTACAATGTTGTTTACAAATGATCAGACTTCCCTTTCTATAGTAGGGGAGCCCTACTCTTGATATAATTCTATAAAAGGTAAAAATCTCGTGATTTGCTAATTAATCGGCCTCTCCTTGATACGTGCCGAGATTTTCGCCGTGATCTCTAACTGATCGCGGATATTTTGGCCTTCCGTTATTTGGCTCAACAAAGTTCCCTCGATCTTGTTTGGTCCCGGAGTCACGAGCTCAACGATTCAACTTCGCGCCTGGATTCGATATAATCCGGGGTCGAGCCTCGACCCATCATGTTTCGGTCTCGACTAGTCATACAATATACGAACCCGATTTCTACCGTATACAATCATCTTAACTAAACTTCTAAAAGCTCTATTAATTTATTGTTAGCTTAAAACTAAGATTTCTTGTAGAGAAAATAAAGATGATATTCACACAATAATCTAAATTGAAAAAACTAGTTGGATAATTTCTTGAAGAAATAATAATGCGAGAACTCACATATGCTGCTACTTATAAGGAAAGGAAACATAGTAGTAGGATTTTTAAGTTTAACCATGGTTTAGGGGTTAGTATAGTTAAACAAATATTGGTATGGACAGGTGTACTAATCACACACTCAAAATGGCCAAATATCAATATAGGATATATAAAACTTGGGGTAACAACCATCCTAACACGTACACTTTAAAAACTCCTCCCTTTCTCCCATAAACGGTCTTCAATTCTCCTCTTTTGAAAAGTCCTCCACCAAAAACATTTCACTTTTAAAGTTCCCAATAGGAAAGAAGTAAACCCAATTAATTGAATCGAAGAAAATGGTGGAAGGGCAAGACCCAGTAGAGGTATTCATGAGGCTAGAACGGTGGCCTCTATCACCGCTTGAAGTGGAGGCGGAGGCGGAGGAGGAGGAGAACAACAGCCAGTCATCAGGGGAGATGTACATGGTGGGTTTTGTGATCGCCAACGTTGTGGGTCTTCAGTACTACAGTGGTAGAATCAGCGGCCGAGAAATCGTTGGGCTTCAACGTGAACCCCTCAATCAGTATGACCCAAACGCGATTAAAGTTCTCAACACTCGTTCCGTTCAAGTTGGACACATCGAACGCTCCGCCGCCAGGGTTTTATCACCGCTTTTGGACGCCCACGTCATCACCATTGACGGTAATTCTTTTTCTTTTGTTCTTCCCTCTTTTTCTTGGAAATTTTGTTGTTCAAAGGTTAAAGGAATCTGAAATTGTTTGTTTGATTCTTATCGATGTTGTCAAGAAAGCAGACTAGTCAAACCTGCGGTATTTGCTTCAGTAGTTGGATAACTTTTTGAATTCAGTACTCATGGGTTGCTTCCATCACCTTATGATCTTGAATGTAGGAATCAAAATTTAGTCGAGTGTAAATTTATATTCTGTTTCTTCCTCTTTCCACTATTACCTAAGTTTTGCTATTGGATAAATGAGTTTGTTCTTTAGTTATGGACTTATAGTCTCTGACTCTTCAAATGATATGTGAATGATGTTTGATAGTTACCAGTCTGTTTGTAAATAAGTTTCTTTATCATTTCTGCATAGGAATTGTTCCAAAGGTGGCTCGTCCAGGAAACAGATACAAACTTCCCTGTCAAGTTCACATCTTTGCAAGATTGGAGGCATTTGGAATAGTAAAATCAGCAATTACAAATGGTGGGTTGTATTTGATTGGCGAGAGCGATCCGTCGTTCACACTTTCAGAGGCGGAGGTAGTTAAGGAGAAAAGAAGTACACCAGAAGGGAGGGACATCGATGAGATATTTAAACTTTTGGATGAAAAAATCAGTAAAAAGGAAGAACTGAAAGCGTTAGAGCCACCTAAAAATATAATAAAGTCGGAGCTTCTTCTGCACCAGAAGGAAGGATTGCAGTGGTTGGTTCAGAGGGAGAACTCTGAAGAATTGCCTCCTTTTTGGGAAGAGAAAGAGGGTAGTTATGTGAATGTTTTGACAAACTACTCTACCGATAAAAGACCTGAACCTATAAGAGGTGGAATATTTGCAGATGACATGGGGTTGGGGAAGACACTTGCTCTCCTTTCTTTAATTGCTTTGGATAAACGTGGTGGTTTTATTTCATCTTCAATCAGAAGTGGTCATCAAAATGCCGAGAGAGATGATGGATTAGATGAAGAGGAAGACAAAAATACTGCTTCTATTAGTAAGAGGAATAAGAGGGGAAGAGTTGGTAGAAAGACTGACAATTCACGAAAGAAGCAAAAGACTGAACGAGCAAACACACTACAAGTGAAGGAAAAATCAGCTTGCAGTCCTGAAAGTCGTTCTGGCAATTCAAGTTCAGGGACGACATTGGTTGTTTGTCCACCAGCTGTACTGTCAGCGTGGATCTCACAGATTGAGGAGCACACTAAACCAGGTTCACTGAAGTCATATATTTATTATGGAGAGCGGACAGGAGATGCCAATGAGCTGGCAAAGTATGACTTAGTTTTAACTACTTATAGTATTCTGGCTAGTGAAGACACATGGATAGATTCTCCCATCAAAAAGATAGAATGGTGGCGAGTTATCTTGGACGAGGCACATGTCATTAAGAATGTGAATGCTCAACAAAGTCGAGCAGTTAACAACTTGAAAGCTAAACGAAAGTGGGTGGTAACAGGAACACCGATACAAAATAACTCATTCGATTTGTATTCTTTGATGGCATTTTTGAGATTTGAGCCTCTGTCTATTAAAGCCTATTGGAACAGTTTGATACAACGTCCACTTGCCCAGGGAGATGAGAAGGGGGTGTCAAGACTGCAGGTAAGCTCTTCTTATTTGCTCTTTTTTTTTTTGTTTTTCTTCTTAAATAAGTTTGTGTTGGATTGAAAGCCTCAGTATTTTCTCTTTTCGCGCTATTGTCTCTGTAATTGTACCTTTCCATATTTATCATGCTTTTCATCCCTTCCCATCATGACCGTACTTAGAAAATTATGCTATTTCCACAACGTTTTTGTAGATGAACTTTGAAATGTAAGGAGAAGAGCTTTATGTTTAGATGCTCTCGGTCCTTTTTGTACCATACTGTATTAAATTTTGCTCCCTTCCTCTCTACTCCTAAAACAGGAGAGGAAGTTTGCGAGCACCGGACAAATGGTTGAGCAGTTGGTTATGTGGGGAGGGGTNCTTTTTTTTTTTTTTTTTTTTTTTAAAAAAAGTTTGTGTTGGATTGAAAGCCTCAGCATTCTCTTTTCGTGCTATTGTCTCTGTAATTGTACCTTTCCATATTTATCATGCTTTTCATCTCTTCCCATCATGACTGTACCTAGAAAAGTATGCCACAACGTTTTTGTAGATGAACTTTGAAATGTGAGGAGAAGAGCTTAATGTTTAGATGCTCTAGGTCCTTTTTGTACCATACTGTATTAAGTTTTGCTCCCTTCCTCTCTACTCCTAAAACAGGAGAGGAAGTTTGCGAGCACTGGACAAATGGTTGAGCAGTTGGTTATGTAGGGAGGGGTAGAAGGGCTTTTTCCGGAAGGAGGGGTGGGAAGCTGGGTGGCTTAGTCTCAGGCTTTGGCAAAATCTACCAAGTATTATAGTGTTACGAGGTTGGAGACTCAAATAGTTTGTGCGACCAAGAATAAGGGGAAGGTAAGGGCTGATCCAGTTTCAGGCAGTAAAAGTCAGCACTAAAGCTGGTTCTGACAACCTTTTCTTAGTATCTGTTGTGTTCCTCGTTGATGGATAGAGCGCCATTTCTGTGGTTAAAGTTTTATAGTGTACCTAGGCTCTGTTGCTAGTTAGTTTCAATGTTCTAGTTCCTTTTGAGAGTGTACATCTAACTGTTTAAATTTTGGATATGGCTTACTCTATTAGTGCCGCTGGTTTATATTTATATCGGTAAAAGGTTATTTATTTTTAAGGTACACTTCTATTGAATTTCTGATGCATGAGTCTTCACTGATCAACAATACTTTGAAGCAGTGCAAGTGTGTTGTGTTTGGCTTCTTTGGCATACATTGTATTCTTGAGGCGTTTAGTGCACGCAATATTTTCGCTATAGTTTATAAAGTTTTGTTAGAGAAAGACTTCTCTGACAAATACAAATGCAAGCTTTAGAACACTATTTCATCATTTGCATTGTTGAAGCACAACTCTGGAATCTGAGATTTAGCTGATCACACCTGGAAATTCATCTGAACTTATTATTACTCTGATTTACATATATCTCTGAGAAAGAATGTGGTTCGTGAAAAGAAGTATCATTTTATTTGTTTGTTAGTGTGAAAGATTAGTTGCTAAATCAAGGCAAGTGGCTGTTATCCATTCTCTTACCCTTTTCATAGTTAATTAGTTGTACACTCTTTATGTGCCCTACTAGTTTGCTTTAAGATTCTGATCGTCATTGTCATTTCAGGTTCTAATGTCAACCATGTCTTTGAGAAGGACCAAAGAAAAGGCTCTAATTGGTTTGCCATCAAAATCTATTGAGACTTTCTTTGTGGAACTTTCTGGAGAAGAAAGGGAAATTTATGATCAGATGGAATCAGAAGCTAAGAGGATTGTCAAGCAATACATATCTTCTGATAGCTCAATGAAAAATTATTGGACTGTTCTGAGTGTAATTGTACGGCTTCGACAAATCTGTATTGATTTAGCCTTGTGTCCTTCAGATCTGAGATCGTTACTGCCATCAAATAAAATTGGAGGTTAGACTTGATATCTCTTACATTTATTTGTTCTTATTTTTTATTACAAAGTAAATAGACAGGCGAAAATCATCTTTACTGCCATCAAATAACATTCGAGGTGTAATATCGAGGAAATGATTAAAATGGTCCTTAATGTATTGGGGTTGCTTTATTTTTGTCCTTAATGTATCCCCCTTGACAGATATGATCCTTGATGTATGTATAAAGGTGAGAACTTTGGTCTAAAGCCCTACGTCTAACAGATTTTCCAAAATGTGCCGTTAAATTTAACTCTTAGGTCCATGTGCAGCTCACGTGTGATTAAAAGTTAAGAACTTCAACCGTTAAAACTAGCAATAAGTATTCCCAAATCATATGCCACTAGATGAAACAAGAGATAGACCCAATTTCAGATTCAACCTTTGTACAACGAGAATCACATCGGCTCAAGGAGAAAGAAACCAAAAAGAAAATGAAAACCAAAGCTTAGGCACATCGACTCCCCCAACGAACTAAGAAAGGCAAGACAATTGAGAAACTGCCTCCTATTGAACTTAAAGAACAATCTGAAGAGAAAAATCCAAAGCATAAAACAAGTACGTACAATTATCTTCTAGCTTCAAAATTCTTATACATCTTCCTTATTGAGATGAACATACTTAACAGCCAACCAATTAATTCTCACGGCAAAACTCTTTCCCCCTTTCTTCTCCAAAAACCTTAATAAACATTCACAAATCATAAAAAATTCACAAACCCATTTCCCTTATCGACGACAATATCAGATAGCCGGCTAAGGATCGCAGTGGTGCCTGAGACAATATCACTTCACTTCCGGCGAGAGTGCAGAGAAAACCCGAGACCTACTTCTGGGGTCCGGGCCCGACAACATCGACCACTGCCGCTTCGTACCATATGAGAATCGACAAAGCAGACTCGGCGGCAGCAATGACGAACGCAGTTGATGACAACATCTCAAAGAAAACTTTCTGATTGTTGTGATACAAATGAGCTCATGTCAAGCTCATTAAAATCAAGTGTTGTTAATTCTGATGTGAAACGCCCTGTTTAGAGGAAGTAAAGATGAATTTTTTGGTTGAAAAGAGTGGGAATATAGTTTAGTCTGATATAAAAGACACAAAATTGGAGACTAAATCAAATATAGTTATTATGGAGGTTCGAGACAGAAAGGTGAAAATGAACAAGGTTGGCTGAGTAGCAATAAATGAGTATGAATGTTGCTAAGAAGATACCCAGGGAAAAGTAGGTTTGGTCGTTTTGACAGGTTGTAGCATTTCCTAGTTGAATCACACGTGAGCTGCACATGGGCGAAAGAGTTAAACTCAACGGCACTTTTTGGAAAATCTGTTAAACTTAGGGCTTTAGACCAAAACTGTCACCTTTTTACATATATCAAGGATCATATCTGTCAAGGGGATACATTAAGGACAAAAATAAAGCAACCCCAATACATTAAGGACCATTTTGATCATTTCCTCGTGTAATATCAGTCTGTCGAATTTATTTGTTCTTACTTTGAATAGATAAGATATCCAGATGTGGTTGTTACCTGTTAAATTACTTTCAAACCTAAGCTACTTTGTATAGTGGATTCATTTTGAATTACTTTAGTTTCTTTTCCATTGAATATCATCATGAGAGATAAGTTTGGGTTTTGCCGACCGATAACCTCCCCACAAAAATGTGAAAATAATCTGATTAGCTGGAAATTACTTGTGCCATTGCAGTCTTTCCTTAAATAAGTGAGAAACACGTGCTATAACATGTCAACTTCCTGTTTCTGAGTTGTGTATACCTTTGTTTCGAGGGATAATATAGATAGTTCTTTTGTCATTATTGAGTTAGCAGCTGATTTATGTCATATGTTGTTACGGTTCAAGTTGTTGGCAATGCTTCCTTGAGTTTTGCAGTTGCATGTTTTATAAAGAACAAAGCTCCTACTATATAATTGGTTCTGTTTCTTTTGCAGTGGTTGACAAAATATATTGCATGTTTGTATTTTTTGTTGCCTTTTCTTTAGGTTTGATAAGTGGGAATTTAATCATTTTCGAAAAGATGTTTAATTAGCCAAGTAAAAGGCCTTTTTGTTCTATCCTGCTTTTCTCATGTTGTTCAGCTAGTCAGTGAGTAATGCATTTAAGAATTGAATTGAAACAGATGTACACAGCAACCCACAGTTGTTGGACAAAATGCTCTCAGCATTGCAAGATGACGAGGGAATTGATTGTCCAATCTGCATTTTTCCACCTACCGATAGTGTCATTACTTGTTGCGGGCATATATTTTGCAAGTCTTGCATTTTGAAGACCATAAAACGTGCCAAGCCTTGCTGCCCACTTTGCCGTCATCCGCTGTCAGAGTCTGACCTATTTTTCTGCCCACCTGAAGCATCTAATGCAGCAAATAGTGGAAGTTCTTCCACTGCATCATCCAAAGTGAAAGCACTCCTAAAACTTCTCTGTGCATCAAGAGATGAAAGCTCTAACAGAAAATCAATTGTCTTCTCTCAGTTCAGGAAGATGTTGCTCCTACTTGAAGAGCCGCTTAAAGCAGCTGGTTTTAAGATATTGCGCTTAGACGGGTCAATGAATGCGAAAAAGAGAGGCCAAGTGATTAAGGAGTTTGAAATCCCAGCTCCGGAGGGGCCTACCATCTTGCTTGCAAGTCTAAAAGCTTCAGGTGCTGGAATAAATCTTACAGCTGCGTCTAGAGTCTATCTACTGGAACCTTGGTGGAATCCAGCAGTTGAGGAGCAAGCTATGGACAGAGTCCATAGAATTGGTCAAAAGGAAGATGTGAAGATTGTGAGGATGATTGCAAGAAGCACCATTGAAGAGAGGATACTGGAACTGCAAGAAAAGAAGAAACTGCTGGCAAGGAAGGCTTTCGGGAAGAAGGGCTCAAAAGATCAAAGGGACATTAGCTTAGATGACCTTCGCACCTTGATGCACTTGTGAGTCATTCGTATTTCTTATCGATCTGTAGATGGGATGGATGTATATGTTTTGTAAATGCTTAACTTACTATCCTTCTGATCTTTTTTTTGGTCAGAAATGCATGCCTATTCAGTTAATGCAATTTTCTCTGCTTTGAATTATTTTGCTATAATTTTCCGTAATCCATTGGATGAAATTGGAAATAGTGCTTTGAACTTGCCTCTTGTGGTTTTTGTAAACCATCCTGATATAATAGGACTGGAGCAAACGGTTTCTCCTTGCCGATAACCTATGTATCTAAGAAAAAAAGGTTGGAGCTGTATATTTGGATCTCAAGTGGGCCTGCATATCTATGAGCGCATTATTTGGTCGCATCTTTTTAACTTATACCCATTTTGTTTTTCCTTTATATCTATGAGCGCCTTATTTGGTCGCATCTTTTTAACTTATACCCATTTTGTTTTTCCTTTTGCATCCGTACCCATTTTTTTGTTAAAAGCGTTTTAAAAAGACGATTTTGCCCTTCTTTGATAAAAGACTATTGACAAAAATGTAGACGGCAGGACAAAACTTCAGCATGTTTTGGTATGAAGTTTTAGCAAACGAACTAAATAACTTCAGCATGCATTAGAAAAACTCATTAGAAAATTACATACTGCAAGACAAAAACTTAAGCATGTTTAGTCTGAAGTTTTAGTAAATGAAAATTTTTTTCAGCTTGTTTAGACTGAAGTTTCGGATAAAATTCATGACAAAACTGCAGACTGCAAGACAAAACTTCAGGATGTTTTGGTATGAAATTTTAGCAAATGAACTAAATAACTTCAGCATGCATTAGCAAAAACTCATTAGAAATTACATACTGCAAGACAAAAACTTAAGCATGTTTAGTCTGAAGTTTTAGCAAATGAACTAAAAAACTTAAGCATGTTTAGTCTGAAGTTTTAGCAAATGAACTAAAAAATTTAAGCATGTTTAGTCTGAAATTTTAGCAAATAAACTAAATAACTTAAGCATGCATTCAAAAACTCATTAGAAAATTACATAATGAAAGACAAAAACTTAAGCATGTTTAGTCTGAAATTTTAGCAAATGAACTAAATAACTTTAGCATGTTTAGACTGAAGTTTCGGATAAAACTCATGACAAAACTGTAGACTGCAAGATATATAACTTCAGCATGCATTGCATTGGCATGAAGTTTTAGCTTCAATGTGATACAACTTCATGCTATATTAGCATGAAGTTTTAGCTTCAACATGAAACTTCATGCTACATTAGCATGAAGTTTTAGATTCAACGTGAAACAACTTCATGCAAGTGTGATCCTGAAGATGAATCTGGACAAGTTTCTGGTTTTTTGATAAAGTTGCTGAGAGGAGAGGAGGAGATCTTTTTTCATGAATGAGGTTGCAGATCACATGTAGGTTTTATATCTTTTGTCATGGGTGTAATTGTCATATTATTACGGATTTTTTGTTAGCTGGCTACCAAATCAATAATTTCTTAAAACAGGATACAGGTTAAAAGGTAACACAAATATAGAGTACGGCTGCAAATCCCCCATATCTATCTGAGATTTTTTACCTAGCTATACTAAATTATAAACTTATTTACCCCCAATAGAGAGGTTATCACTTAATTACATTCTCATATACAATTTATCTAACTATTTACAAATTAGTGATAAATTAGTCTCCCTTTACCCCATTTGTTGATCGAGATCCTGAAATTAAAGCTCAAGTGCAAGTCACTCCTACACCTATACGAATAAGGAAGTGAGGAGACACTAGAATCAGTATTGAATTAAGACGTTTGGGATTAAAAGGAAGCAAGGCAACGGGTTGAGGTGTATTAGGCGGAACTGGCAATTGAAGAAGACAGCTTTAGAGCAATGTGAGAGATACAATGAAAGAACTACTGAAAATTCTTCTAAATGCTCGGAGGTGATTCGGCTTGTACATCGTCCAAAATAATAAACCTAATTAAAATCCATTAAAAACTCTATGGGCTACCAATTTTAATTCGAAATTGGGTTGGCGAAATTGTTATTTATATAGATTGGGTGTTGTTGCAAATGATTAGAAATATCTCATGGAGTTTATATCTCAATTGTGACGGAATTTAGTGAAGATTCGATTGGTTTTGGTTGGAAATTCAATTGGAAACTCGAAGACGAAGATATAAATAAATTGTATATATTTTCTATATCGGATGTACAAACAACATACAAAATATATACAACTAATCTATCTATATCTATACTATATTAAAAGTGGGAAGCTCCTAAGTCTAAAGTTAAATTACAAAAAATACCCATAAAATGGAATCTTTTACCCATTTTAAATATTAGTTAATAATAATATTGAAATAAAAAGTATAAAACTAATTTGGAGTGTTCTTTCATAGAATAGTTGTGTCCTTTCAATTGTATTATAACTAACTTGGCAACTATTAGAGTTAATGCTCAAATAGAGTAGCAATGGATGGGCATCATCGACAAACAGAGAAATCAAAGAAATCTTCTCTTTGCCAACTAAATGATTATTCTGGTATAAATATAACTAATTCATCTCACGCCATGAAAATTAAAGTCTTTACCTTTTGGTGGTATTTTTCTTCTACTATATATCCTCAATCTGGTCTAACCTATGATGTTAAAGTGCGTTGATTTCATAGAGGGGCTGTTGAACACCACTTTATATTATTTCTATCTTTCCAGACTTGCTTTTCTCAAATCTCATTACAATTACTTGTGAGTATCACTTTAATATTTACCCGAAAATTCTATCATTTTCACATATTTCATGATTCTCTGCAAGTTTTACTAAGTTTATTTTATTTTAATACTTTATCTTCCATGACATGTGGCTCCATGAATGATATATAATCAAAAGGAATATCTTTAATAACATACATTCTTCCTTAGAAAAATTTACATTTGAAATACCTAATTAGTAATTTCGTAAAAAGATCATTATATTAATCAAGAAAAGTAATATCTCTTTAGTATTACTGTAGTTTACATGATTAATACTAAAGAGACCATTTGTTTTAACCTATTTCTATTACAACGTCATGGACACGTACATTTTTCGCGTGTATAATAAGGTCCATGTATTAAAAATTTAAGACATATAAATTTTTTGCATGGGTATCAAAGGTAGAAGAAAATAATTGAAAATATGTATAAATGTGTGACTCTTTGTTTGAAATTTTTATTCATATAAAAGAATATATCGATCTCAACAGTTGAAATGAATCAACTCATGACCAAAAAGTAGCCCACCAGAAGATCGAGTCAAATATATATATATATATAGTGTATGTGTGTTTGAAAACTAAGAATAAGAGGATTTCAGTACGCGCATATATATATATATATATATATATATATAGTGTATGTGTGTTTGAAAACTAAGAATAAGAGGATTTCAGTACGCGCATATATATATATATATATATATATATATAGTGTATGTGTGTTTGAAAACTAAGAATAAGAGGATTTCAGTACGCGCATATATATATATATATAGTGTATGTGTGTTTGAAAACTAAGAATAAGAGGATTTCAGTACGCGCATATGCATAAAATAAAAGGACCTAACAACCTTACTTGACCTAATACTAGACAAGCCAACTTAAGTTACTTTTGTGATTATAGCCAATTGTTTGTCTTAAAAACAAAGGAATAGAGAACTTCGAGATTTTGAAAATTTTCTACGTTTTCCCTTTCTTTAGCTTTCCTAGACTAAACTCTAAAGGAACCAAAAATACAATGAATATCTTTAAAAAATTGTTGCTCTACCATGCATGCCAAGATTGACATATGGTTTGATAGCGACATATTCAATATGAACCAAATAATGACCTTCTATATACGCCTTCCCATTGCTAATTGAGTGTAGTTTTTCATTGTTTTACATTTTCTGATAAATTATCGGAAATAACATAAGGACGTTTTTGAATCAAATAACAGCTATAATATTATTAATGGTCGATTAGGTCATGTTAATCCTAACCACTATTCGGTGCACAGAGAAGTCAAAATAACTTTTACTAGTCATACCTTTATAAAGAAATTTGACAATGACATTCCAATTAAAAAAATTCAAATGACTTATCCTTGGAAGAGGCAAAAAAGTTATTTTTTTAACACAATTACTTTATACTTATCACTAATTTAATCTCATAATTTTTATATATAATTTTCATGTTAGTAACAATAATATTACTTATTGGAGAAGGATGAAGACATGAAGTAGAAGAAGACAAATAATAGCGACAAATAAAAGGTAAGTTAAAATTACATAAATTTTCATGAAAAATATTAGTTTTTTGTACTATATAAATAAGATAATGTAATTTATGCAATTTTTAATTTTAAAATACAAATATATCATATAATTATTACTTTATAGGGAGATTTTGTTGAAAATCACATGTATCTAATTAAATATTGATTGTTTATCTTTGTAGGTTTAGATGATCCAATCATTTGGCCTAGACAAATAAAGTAATATACGATAATTAATATTGATCATTCACATATATACTTTATTTTGTCATGTATAATTATTTACTCAAATATTTTCTTTAATAATATTGATATTATTTTACAAAATCGTGTATTACATGACTCGGACATACATGTGCGACGTGTAGCGAAACTAGTATAATTATACACAAGTTGTATATAAGTAGTTTTTTGATCGAATTATGTATAAAAAATCATTGTTTACAAGTTGTATGTAAATGGTAGCCTTTTTATCGGGTTCTATACAAAAAATCATTGCATATAAGTTATATATAATTATTACTTTTGACCGAATTTGTATATATTTTGTAACAACAAAACTTACCAAACGAGTAAATATTATTCTTATTTTGTATATAAGAAAAAATTCCTATTTGAAACTGCATAGGCTACACATTGTGTCGAGGCCCAAGAAGGCTGTTGGAGCTTCATGGAAATGGGTGCGTTAAAATCGATTTTAGGTATTGGACAAAGACTAATTGAAAAAATATTCGCCAAGTACGAATATTAATTAACGGCTAAGACCATAAGCGTTTTTAATATAAACTAGCTTTAACGTACATGCATCAATTCCTAAATATTGAAGAAAATGAATTTTTGTTAAACAACATTGACACTAAAAGAAATGTCAC